GGTAGTGCTGCTGCGTGGCGATTGGCTACAAGCGGGCAGTTGCTGTAAGGAGGGGTACGTCCTGTGACAATAGTCACTGCGGGGAATTTACTTAATGATTTGCCTTTGGAAGCGGACGTCACAACGTCCGTTAGGTGGAGACGCAACATGCGCTGTGAACGCGCGCAGGCATGGCTTGTGCTGTCAGGGCCAAGCATCGAAGTAGATGTGCATGCACTACAACAATGTAGCGCACACGAGGGAGCGGGCGTCCGGCACGGCGGTGGGAGCAAATGCCAAGTCCCCAGACTTGTACCTTTTGGCAATGACGGGTTTTGTAAGGATGTGGAGTCTTGAATATGGTCCCGTTTGTTGCGCCGCCTTTTCGACAAGTATCCCTTTGTTGTGGTGTACATGGACGACATTTGCATCTTCTCTGCCTCAATTGAAGATCACGTAAAGCATCTGCGAGCGATTTGTGAAGTCCTGCGTGAAGAGAAGCTCTACGCTCGACCATCCAAGTGTGCGTTTGGTTTGGAGTCCGTCGACTTTTTGGGTCATACAATTTCCAAGCATGGCCTCCAAGTGGATAAGTCCAAAGTGCGAGCGATTGAAGAATGGGCTGAGCCTCAAGGACACAAGGACTTATTGAGTTTCATTGGATTTGCCAGCTTCTACCGCAAGTTCCTTCCTCGATTTTCGGAAATGGTTCTCACTCTCAGGGCCCTGTTGAAACCCTCTACGCCATGGACATGGACAGAAGCGCACAGCCAAGCCTTTTTGAGCATCAAGCTCGCCTTGCCTTGCAACAAGCGCCGGTGTTGCAATTGCCTAACTACAACAAGCCTTTTGTGGTTACTAGGATGCCTCTGGATACTGCTGTGGTGCCGTTCTTTCCCAATTCGATGATGAAGGCAATGACCGACCGATTGCGTTTATGTCCAAACGCCTTGGACCCCATGAAGTGAAGTGGCCCGCGCATGAAAAGGAACTTTATGCGATCAAGCAAACGCTTGGAAATTGGCGTCACTACTTGTACGGAACGCACTTCGACATTTACACCGACAACTCTGCCTGCAAGTGTTTCATGAACACGCCAGTTCTCACTCCAAAGTTGACGCGTTGGCTTGATTTCTTCAGGGCATACGACTTTGTTTTGCACCATCGCCCTGGTAAACTCAACGTTGTGGCTGATGCTTTGTCTCGCCCAGCCCAAGATATCCCTGCTTCGCATGCCACGATGATCCACGAAGTCCGCATCCATTCGTGTGGTCAACGCTGTGACTTGACGGCCTCTCGCCTTGATCACTTGACCGACCTTGCTATCACTGCCGTCTCTTTGTCCACTCGTGAACTCGCGAAGCTAGTTGGCACTTCTTTTTCGGGGGAGGAATCGGTTGCTCAAAAGGGTGCTTTAGTGTCTCAGCGACTGGTTACCAATCATGCAAAGCAACTCTCGTACACGACAATCAACATGGATCCTGCCACCAAGAGCCGTTACCTCAAAGCGTACAAGAAAGACCCCGCCTGGAAGGATTTTACAAGCGACGAAAGTTTCGTAATAAAGAACGACTTAGTTTTCCTTCGCACGAAAAACAAAGTCTGGAGACTTTGCGTGCCCAAGGATGATGATTTGCGAGCCGAAATCATTTCCCAAGCCCATGACTCAAGCATAGCCGCTCATCCTGGAACTCGACGAACTGCCCTCAGTGTTTCGCAATGGTATTACTGGGATACTCTGTTTGACGACGTAAAGCTTCACGTTGTCACCTGCGAAACGTGTTGCCGATACAAGACAAGTAGTCTTCGAGCCAATGGAAAGATGATCCCAATTGAAGCTCCACCAGAATGTTGGCACACAATTTCTGCCGATTGGATCACTGAACTACCCGTGTCCAAGTCATGCGATGCCATTTTAGTTGTAGTTGACAAGCTGTCTAAGCGCGCCAAGTACATACCAACGCATTCCAATGCAGACGAACCAGCAACTGCCAAACTCTTTTCCGATCATGTTGTTCGCCATCATGGCTTACCGAGCGTCGTCATCAGCGACCGTGACCCCAAGTTTACAAGCAACTTTTGGAACTCTCTCATGGAGATCATGAACATCCGCCAAGACATGACAACCGCTGGACGTGCCCAAGCTGACGGAGCTTCGGAGCGCCAAAATCGAACTCTTGAAGATGCCCTACGTTCTCAAGTATCTTACCTCGGAGACGACTGGTTCGACCACTTAGTGACGATTGAGTATGCTCACCAAGGACTCGTACAAGCCTCAACGGGACTTACGCCATTTCAAGTTGACACCGGACGAATTTTGCGCAACCCAATCATTGACGCAGTTTTGCCTACAAGTGACATTGCCAAGAACTTTTTGGAAGAGCGCCAAGCGATTTGGAAAATGGCTCAGGAAAATCTCCAAGCAAAACAAAAGGAGTATTATGACCGCAAACGATCGCAAGTTATCTTCAAGCCCAACGACTATGTTATGCTTGCAACCCGCAACTTGCCACTCAAGCATGCCCAGCAGTCAAACTCCAACAAACGCCCCAAGCTTGTGCCCCGTTTCATCGGACCATTTCGAATTGTTGAAGCGGTTAACGACAATGCCATGCGTCTCAAGTTACCCGCCAATATGTCGAGAATTCACGATGTCTTCAACGTTGACCGCCTCAAGCCATGCCGTTCCAATGATCCCAAGTTTGCATCCCGTCCGATTCCCAAAGCAACTCCAATCATCCTCGACGACAAAACGAATGAAGAACTTTTCATTGTTAAAAGTCTGCTGAAGAAGCAGTTCAAACCGCAAGCTCGAGTTTCTCGTCAAGTGGCATGGTCAGCCGGAAAGCGAAGCCATGTGGGAACTCGCCAAGACCATCAAGCATGTCTCCCATTTCCCTCAACTTCTCCAAGACCTACGACGCCGCACATTCCTCGTCGGCAAGACATCCGGGGGAGGATGTAAGGATGTGGAGTCTTCCCGACTCATCTGAACTCCAACCGGACAACTACGAGTTGAAGATTGACCGCAAATAATAGCTCTTGCGTTAAGTATGCATTAAGTGACGTACCTAGGAAGAGGAGAAGCATGAAGAAGGCCACATGCTTGAATTCAACAATTCTAGACTATGGCGTCAGCCATCGGAAGGATGTTCTTGAGTTGAGATAAATCTTGTGTTCTAATTCATTCTACAATTTGCGACGCCTCGCACAGTTCGTTCCTACCCCCGCTTCCTCCAGCGCCGAGCAGTATTACAGGTTTAGCCATCGCCAGCCCTCTTTTACGTTTTGTCAATGACGGGTTTTGCCAGCGCCAGTCCCCACACCCTGACGAAGTCGCTCCATCCCCGCGGTGCAACCTCCTTCGCCATCAACTGCAGCAGAATCCTTGCCGCTGAATCGCTCACCGCGCTGAGTGCATAGAAGATTCAGATGTGGTCGTCCCAGCAGTTGAATGTGATCAATGATAATACACTCAGATAAGCGATTTGTACTATTCCTCGAAAATCTTCACCATCAACAGCGTCATTCGTCATTCGGCGCTGACGAAGCGTGATTGGGGGTTGATCGCAATGAGAATGCAGCCATTGCGTTCAACGGAACGAGCAGCCCAAGATGGCGGCAGTAGGGTTGGCAGGCAGCTCCCACGACTTAGGATGTTGACGTGAATTCAAGTCAACTTTGTCAGTCATGAGTGTAGTCTCGTCCGTAACGTCGATAACGGGCTTCGTTTTCCTCGGGCCAACAATCTTCACGACCCCCTTGCATCCCCGCGCCGGTAACTTTCCGAACTGTAGGGTTGGTGCAACATGTAGAACCAAAGCAGTATAGCATCAAGGATGCACTGCTTTAAAGTCGCCTTCACGGTACACAGGTGCATCGTCAATCTCGTTCCATCTCACAGAAGTCAGCAAATTTTTTGATCGTCATATCCCACCCAACGTCACAACGAAATAGATAGAGGAAGTGAGCGTTTGTCCACGAGTTCGGTTTGCTCTGGCACAGGGAGAATCGGGTGGACAACAGCGCGTCGACGAAGAGGCTCTGGATGGTAGTGGTATGTATGTTTCATGGTACGCTCTTTCGACGCCTGAAGCGAATGGTAGTGGTAGCCCCGCACGCCGCTAAACGGCCCAACGTTTTATCGATTCCAAGTATCCCTCTCTACCGCCCAATCCATTTCAACCAACTAGGTCCAACAAAACTCGCTCGGTTATACAAACGTTTCTGCTAAGTGTCGAGGCTACGGGGGTCAACTGGGACGACTTCGTCGGTAACAACTCGGTCGCACGTCGGGCCCTTCGCCGTGAAGTCAATGAGGTTGTCTTCTATATCGGCGCACATGGCCGAGGTCTTGGCAGCGCCCTTGTCACATTTGACCCAACCAGACGGGATATTGGCCTCGCAGGCCAGCCCCTGAGCAGAGAAGCCTGCCTTGCACTTTTTGTAGCACAGCCCAAGGTAAAGGTCTTCGTCCGGCTCACACGTGCCCAAGTCGGGCTTCCCGATGATGACTTTTTTAGCACAGGACAGGTCGACGTTTCCACCCAGTCCAAGCTTCTCGCAGTCTGGTGGATTGGGGCGGCAAATGCAGCAGCCAAACGCGGTGTACCCCTCCTTGCATTTCGGGTACACAACAAGTCCATTCTTCTCGCACTTGTCACTGCCGCCGTTGGCTGCTTCGCAACGTTTGAACATGCCGCTGTCATCAAAAGCGTCGCCAAACTTCCAAGGGTAGCCAGCTCCTCGGTCGTATTCCTTCAAGCGGCAAAAGACGCCTATGTCCTCAAAAACATAGCCCTTGTTGGCTTTGGGACAGTTCGAATGGCAGTCGAAGGCTTTACGAGACATGCCACTCGGGCAATACTCGTAGCAGAAGGCTCCAATGCGTTCTTGGCCTCGCGCGCATGACTTGGGCACTGTGCCAACGCCGCGGAGATACGAGGTGAGCAAGCAGATCGATGGGGGTGCCTCTTGGAGTTGGCGAGACACAGACGTATCGTTGAGCGTGGCCGAGGCGGCCCCGGCGACGACAGTCAGCGCAAAAATAAACTTCATGGCAGGAGCAAGTGAGCGATGCAAGGCAAGTACCAAAGTGAACGACTCGAAATGTGTGATGACAACTGCCTACGTCGGATCGCGCAGAGTGACTTGGCTGCGAAATGCCGGCAGCTGGATTCGTTTGTCGCTACTGCAAATCGAAGTCACCGGCACGACTGCTTTGCTGCCGTGCAACTTCTAGTTCGTTCCACCAGGTATGTATCCAAGGCAACTCACGACAGAAACACGTAGTTGCTCAGCGCCGTCCACCCGAGGCGGCGGACGGTCGCTTGACGCGCGAGGGATTCAGTGCAGCCTCTTCGATGCCTCTCGGTGGTTTGCACGGGAGACTCTATTCTACAATGGACAGCTGGCTCGCCACTCTTGACATTCGGCACCACGCCTTGATATCGCGCTTTGTATACGTGTCAAGCCTATGCATGCGACATATATCTGGTTCCATCAGTCCACATCGTGTCCATCGAAGCCCACATTGTATTGACGATACAACGCCTGCTGTTCTCGAATTGACTTGTGATCCCCACGGCCACTGACCGTCCCATTCAAGCACCAGCTGTTGCGACTTTGACATTTGCCGAACCCCTAGACCCCCCGCCAGAGGCAGGCAGCCTACAGGAGTTCAATTCTCTTGGGTAGTGCTGCTGCGTGGCGATTGGCTACAAGCGGGCAGTTGCTGTAAGGAGGGGTACGTCCTGTGACAATAGTCACTGCGGGGAATTTACTTAATGATTTGCCTTTGGAAGCGGACGTCACAAAGTCCGTCAGGTGGAGACGCAACATGCGCTGTGAACGCGCGCAGGCATGGCTTGTGCTGTCAGGGCCAAGCATCGAAGTAGATGTGCATGCACTGCAACAATGTAGCGCACACGAGGGAGCGGGCGTCCGGCACGGCGGTGGGAGCAAATGCCAAGTCCCCAGACTTGTACAGTGAACGGGGGAATTTACAGTTAAGCCACACCCCGAATCGAAGTAAAGGCTTTCTGGCAATATGATTGGTGGGTGTACTTCGAAGTTCGACACCTAATGTGACCAATAAAACTCCGTCAAAATCCGTCAGGAAAATTTAAAATAAATATGAAAACAAGGGGACGTGAAGTTAAGTATACAGTATACAAATCGTTTTTCGTCGATATCTCCGTCAATATTACTGGGAAAGACGGAATGCAACGCCCACCTTGTCAACCTGAATCAAGGTGTCTAATTGGTCACATATCTACGAAGTTCGACATCATTTCTACCCAATCGCGGCCTCTTAGGAAAAATTATAATCACTTCTGGAGGTAATAATTTTCCACATCGTTTGTGCAAAGAAATTAGTTCAACTCCGGCCACAGTAGAAACGAATTACAGAGGTCATAAGGAGTAAAAGGAGAAATTTCCAACAGCATTGATAAATACCGTAGACAAGGTGTAAGCGTAAGCGTTTGACGCGATAGCGCAGTGGGTAACCACGTTGTGTGTCTTGAGTGTACCCCGGGTTCAAGTCCCGCGCGTCGAATTTTTTTTAGTTCAAAATATGTATAATGATTTGAATGATTTGGAAATTGTATATAAAAAATACAATAGAAAAATCAAGTCAAATTTATCCGAATTGAATCAGTTATCCACCACCAATTGAGGAATGGCCTTTTCAAAGCTTCGGCGGATGACATCGTCGGACACCATGTCCCAAGCTTTAATGGCACGTTTCACCATTGCCAGGCGCTTTTGACGAGCGGTAGGAGAGAATGGATCTTCATCATCACCGACGATCTGCTCTTCCAATAGCCACAAGTTGCGAAGGTTGCGTTTGAAGGGAGCCATCACACCCACGTCCAAAGGTTGGCAGACGGACGTCGAGTTTGGCGGCAGTGGACACAGGTGCGCACCAAGCTCCTCGTACATGATCTTGTAGGACTCATCTGAAACGTGACACTCGAAGTTGTCCATCAGCACGACAGAAGGCGCATCGATGTTCTCTCCCAACACCTCGCGAAGGTACTATGCCCAGACACGACCATCCATCCAAGCCTTTTCTTGAACGGCGTAGTAGTGCTCTGACGGAAACGTAGGAAACTTGTTCGTTTCAATCCGCCCATCCGGTACCCCGCGCATGATAAACATGAGGGGAAGCTTGGTTCCGTCAGCTCGCACAGTCAAGACGGCAGTCATGCGCATGGAGTGCTTTTCGCCAGTCGAAATTTTGGAGCAACCACCGCGGACGGACCAAATGTAAGTTGGCGGCAAATCGTAGTACATCCCTGTCTCATCGACGTTGTAGACACAGTCGTTCTTGAAGGAGGCGTACTCATGGTGGAAGTCGTTGGCGAACTCCTCGTGGACCTCAGCCAACACCGCTTGCTTGAGCTTGTTCTTCGTAGGTCGCTGACGGCTAAAGCCGTGGCGTTTGCAGAAGCACTGCAGAAGCTTCAGCAGCGAGCTGTATGCAGCAGTCGGCTTCTTCGTAGAGAGGTAGTTGAGGAGCCAGTCGCGTTGGTTCAGCTTTATCCATGATATCATATGCGTTGTTGTCAATGCCCGTTCATTGTCGCGTATACGATTTAGGAACTCAACTAAACCAGGTGGATCGGGGAACTCCTCGTAGCGGCCACCAGCAATGAGCTTGTTGCATTTTTTGTTGCCGTCGTATGCCAGCAACTCGAAACGCTGGATCTGCCAGCTGCGAATAGTTCGGCGAGGGATCGCCATGACTCGTGATACTTCACGGCATGACATTGTCTCAAGGAGACCAAGGGCATGGAGCTTAGTTGATATGGGGTAGTGCTTTCGTGGACTCATATTTGGTTGTGTGTAGTTGTGGTCTGCACAGAGAGTCCAAACCAGAGAAATATTGTTTGAAAAGCGCGCGGGCGCGCACAATAAAAATTCCGCCAATGAATGATAGCCATTTTGAAAAATCATTTTGATTGGACATATATTTGTGTGACAAACAATTTTCTTCCGTGGCCGTTGCATTCCCTCTTTCCCAGTAAAGATATTGACATGAAACCACGACGAATCGCTTCGTCTCGTCAAGCCCTATCGATTGCACTTAATGTTTTGTTTTGACCAAACGGCGATAAAAAACATGAATTATGGCAATGGAATAGCCTTAAGGAAGCTACCACGACCTTGCTCTGGGCGTGATCAACTCCCAAGCTTTGATGGCTCGGTTGATCAAGGTCATTCTCTTCACTCCTGCTGTCGGTGAGTTCCAGTTATCTTCATTGTGGTCACCATCCACTATGTCTTCCGCTATCCACAGGTCTCGAAGATGGCGTTTAACGGCGCCATTACGGAGACATCAAGAGGTTGGCCGTGGGAAGTAGCGTTAGCAGGTACTGAACAGACATTGTATCCAAGCAGGTTCGCAGTTTGAATTGCAATAGGGCTTACATGCGACTCAAGATTGTCCAAGACAAGCACGGATGGTTTCTTGACGCGCTCAGCCAACACCAGCCACAGGTACTGCTCCCACACGGCTTTGTCCATCCAAGCTTTGTTTTGCATGATGTAAAAATGACCATTTGGATAGGACTTGAACTCACTAGCCTCGATAATTGCTCCTGGCCGTCTCTTGATGACGAAGAGTATAGGTAACTTCAGACCGTCCCGTCGTATCGTAAGTACTGCTGTCATTCTGTAGGAATGTTTTTCGCCCTTGGATAGCTTGGCCCTACTGCCCTTCTTGAACCAGATATACCTCGGAGGCATGTCAAACTGGATACCCGTTTCGTCCACGTTGTACACGCAATCGTCTGAAAAGGCCCCATAGGTTTCGTGGAACAAAACAGCAAAGAGGTCGCGTGTGCTCTCAAGGTCCGTAACTTTTTTCTTGGACTTGCAGGCCAGTTGATGTGTGTACCCGTAGCGCTGTCAATAGTCTTGGATAAGAGAGAGCAAGTTGTCGTAGCCACAGCCAGGTTTTTGCCTTGCAATGTAGTCCTTCAGCCAGTCCTGGTGATGCTTCTTGAGGTAGGTCACCATGTGTGTGCACGTTAGGCTCGTTCATGGTGTCTGCGAGCTTGCATGAACGCAAGGACAGATTCTGGATAGGGTATGATTGTTGGTCGACCTGCACCAGGAAGGTTGCTGGTCTTTTTGCAACCTTTGTAGCCTTGCAAGTCGGAAGCTACTCGTTGCCAGTTTCGGACGGAGCTGTAGGGTACATTGAGTTGAGCTGCCACCTTTCGAAAGCTCATTGATTTAAGCATCTCAAGGCCTCTAAGTTTAAGTGATATGGGGTACGTGTGCCGCCGAACGACTCTAGCGTCATCGCAATTGCCCATGGGACGAACAATGACAAAAATCGCGGGCTTTAAATTGTTGATTAGGCGGGAGTGAATTTTAACCAATTAGAGTGGCTTATCTTTTTCCTGTGGTATGATTGGTTCATTGTGATATGAGTAATGGAAAACTTCGGTGTGGCTTAAATTTCCCCGTTCACTGTATTGTACGCCTACTATCGATAGGCTATTCTTCGAGAACTTGTAGTACTTGACACCAACCTAGCGGATTTCGGCGAGGTATTGTAATTCGTCCAACGCGGTCTCCGACCGCGAAACTTTCCAATAGGCAAATTCAACCCTGCTATTGAAGGGGAGGGTCGACCGTAATGACTGAAGGAGTAAAATTGATCTTCGAGTGTCTCCTCTTGATGCCGTGCCATAACCGGTGGACCCATCGATGCTGTTCCATAACCGGTGGACCCTTCGTTCCCATGAAATGGGTTTGCTGTGCGCATACTTTGCGAGATCTCCAAGCGCTGGCGATAGTTCTGTTGACTGGACAAGATCGAGGAGTTCTGAGAACCCCTTCGACCACGTACAGCGTTTGAAACACTCATGTGCTGGCGATGGACCGGGAGGGTCAGTGGTCGTGAAGAACACCAGTCATATCGAGAAAATCAGGCCACGTCGTGTCTTCAATACGAAGTGGGTTTTGATGGATATTTTGTGGACTTTGATGGAACTTGATATGACGCATGTATAGGCTTGACTCATACTACGTAGCATACAAAAAGTGATATCAAGTCGTGGTGCTGCTTCTCAAGGTAGGCGTGCCAGCTGTCCACGGTAGAATGCAGTAGTCTCCCGTCAAGCCACCGAGCCTCGAGAGGATTCGATAAGCCTGCACTGGATTCCTCACGCGCCAAGCGATCGTCCGCCGCTCGGGTGGACAGCGCTAAGCATCTACAAGTTTCTCTCGTGGGTTGCCATGGATGTATAGCTGTTCTGGGTGCCCAGAGCCGACTCAACCTCACGAATGGTGGGTTGGCCGGGTCCCAAACCAAGATGTCAAATTTCGGTGGAACGCAAGTCCGAACAAGACCTGTCAAATTTCGGTGGAACGCAAATCCGAACAAGATCTGAATGGTGGAAAAGGCGACATTTGAGGACATCTGATTGGCTCAGGTACTTACTAGTAGGGCTAGTAGTAGATGTCCAGTAAGTGCGGTTAGCGGGGTGGCTCACCTCGAAGTGAGGGCCACTGGCTAACTGACTGTATTACAGTTTGCATTGTGAATCGGAACAAGCGAGTGGTTCCTGTGACTTCGACGGGACGTCGAAGGTGCGGGATGCTAAACAATGAATTCTTTAGAGCATCGTATTGAGCTCACGATGAGTGATATTGATGAGGGGTCACCAAGCCGCAAGTCACGGTCGCCGGAGCGCGACGACGACACAGTGCAGTACGGCTCTGGAGTGCGCCAAGGCCGCAAACGTCTTCGAGGTCTTCCTCGAAGAACCCAGCCACAGCCGATCGACCGGCGCGGAGTGGGACAAGAAGGCAACGCGAGTCATGTGCCAAGGTGGTACCGTCTGAGGCCCCTGTATCGGCTGCGAGACGCCTCTGCCTGCCGACACGCCGACAGCGACAGGCGTGGCTGAGGACGTGGACATGGGAGAAGATACTGGAGTCCGTCTGCTGAACGCGCCGGCTATTTCCCAGCCGCCTATGTTCAAGGGGTCAACGAAGGCCGAACGTCGGGGGTTCATGCGAAAGTATCAGCGGTATACCTCGCAGATTGAGGCATTGCAGTCGACCGTCCAGCGGCCGTTCCTGATGCCTGTGCGTGCATGCATGGACCCATTCTCCAAGCGGCGCATTGCAATGTTCGACTTGGGGAAGTCGCATGGCGATGTGACTGAAACCGAGTGGGTTGCCTGGTTCATGGAAGCCCAAAACGAAGAACCGGTAGAGTTGGACGCGCTCAAGAGCCGTGCAATTCGACATGAGGATCCTCGACGCAGACAGTCGAGTGAGTCGAATGCTGGACAACCTGATGCGCGCTCTCGAGGCAGACGGCCAAAATTGGGTGCTGCATCAAGAAAGAAACTGGTGGTGGGGATCATCACGAAGGCGATCAAGCCTGCGTCACTGCAAGTTGCGGTTACGAAACAGTTGCAATTGCAGCGAAACAAGGTCCTCAAGGCTGACGTGTTTCGTTTCATCAAGTGGCTGCGGCAGTTCGCTGCTGGGTACCAGCTGTATGGCGGTGTGGATGAAGAGAAACCCGCCAAGGCACCAGTGGAAGCGCGGCCGAGGAGCGAGCAGCGACAGAGCTCTCGTGGCTACAGTCGTATCCACGGCAGCAACGACAACAAACCAAATGTTGCGCCAACTGTGCATGGAGCCCTGAAGACCGACAAAGGAAGTTGGGTTCGAGCGGCCCAAGGTCAAGTGTTTGAAGTGTCAATCTACTGAGCACCGTGTCCGCGAACACCCCGGCATCACCGACGACGAAGTAAAGAAACTGTTGGACGAGTTTTACGCCAGTCGTCGAGGTGTGAACGCCATGAAGAACAGCGACAAGGGCAAGAGCATGGAGTGCCGTGCCACGTTGGACGACGTGCTGGTGCTGCCCCGCGTGTTGCTGGACTCAGGCTTAGATGAGTCCCTGAAGTCGAATAGATTGCTGCAGGCGGCGCTGGAGCGCCTGGGATCAAGACTCAGCGTTGTGGACAAGCCAACTGTAATGCTGAAGCCGTATGGTGAGCACTCGCTGCCGCTCAAGGTGACGCGGCAAGTGCAGTTCAAGGCGCTGACCTTGGAGACGTCCATTGGGCCCTTGGCTCTCCGTGGTTTGAAGGCTTGGATGGACGAGCAATCGCCGCAGATCAAGCTCCTGATCGGTCGACCTGTTATGGAACGCCTCGGGTTTCGGTTGATGGCATGCTCGTGGGTGGCTGAAGAAGCGTCAAACCTGGGAAGTCGGCGATTTGGGCGACGGTGAAGACAAACCATAAACCGTCCAACGCCTGCGGGAGATGTATGGTGACAACGATGAAGAGTTGGACAGCGTCGAAGACCTTGCGTGCTCCACCTCGTCATGGAGACGACGGCTGACCCAGACGGGCAGATACGGGGCATCCTCGACGAGAAAGTTGCAGAGGCCGTGGAGCTCAGGCGCACCTTGACCCGATGTGTTCCGCCTCGTTTGGCCGGGACTTGCAGGTGGATGAGGAGCCGTTGATGGAACGGCTGAAGGAAGGCGCGGTCCCTGTGAAGAAGTCACTGCGGCGGTACCCGCCTGCTCACATGGATTACCTCAAGAGCATGTGGGAGAGCTCGTATCGGCGGGCCTTGTCTACTCGAACAATCGCGCAACCTGGGCGTCTGCGCCGAGAATCGTCGCCAAGAAGGAGCCCGGTGAATACCGTAGACGATCGATTCAAGACCGATCAACGCGTGGACAGTCCCGATGCCATGGCCGATGCCGAACTTGGACGCAGCCATGGCAACGCTTGTCGGTATGAAGGTGTTTTTCACGCTGGATTGGCTGAAGGGATATTGGCAGCTCCCGCTGCATCCTGCCTGCCAGATGTGGTACTCGTTCATGACGCCTTTGTGTATACCACCACCCGGATCCTTATGGGACAAACGGACGCTGTGGCGTACTGTCAAGCTGCCGTCAACAAGTTGTTTGGCGATCTTTTGTACGACGGAGTTTTGGGTTGGCTGGACGACCTGCTGGGGCACGCAGACAAAACGGACAGGTTGCTGGCGTTGTTGGACAAGGTACTCGCCATCTGCGGCAGGTTCCGCCTCAAGCTCCATCCAAGGAAATGTGACTTCTTCCTCAAGGAAGCTAAATGGTGCGGAAAAATGATATCTGCGGATGAAATTGCCCATTCCCCCGACCGGGTGCAAGATTGTGTGCGTTGGAGACGCCAACAACTGGGGCCGAGTTGCAGCAGTTCGTGTGCGCCACGAACTGGATGCGCACGTCGTCCCAGGTTATGCGTGTTTGGTTGCTCCCCTGCGTGGATTGCTGGATGTTGCAGCCAAGGCCACCGGAGGCTCGAAGAAGACAGCCCTGGCGAAGATTAAGTTGACTACCATCGGTTGGGCAGCCGAGCACGACGAGTGTTTTGACGTTGTTAAAACGACGCTTCAGCACATGGTGCCGCTGTCGCATCCGTCGTCGGAGAAGGTCATCTGTTGTACACAGATGCAAGCGAAACAGGAACACGGTAATGTACTCCAACAGCGTCTCGCCTTCAAACACAGGTCGACGTGCCCCACGTCGAGCACCCAACCTGGATCGCCTTCGCGCATGCGGTCTTTGCCCATCATCGACCACCATTGTCATCGTGGCCACGGTGTTCAGCATCCACACGACGTGGCGCTCGAAGTCGTCATGGGTTCGTCCAACTTTGCCAAACACGCGTTGGCTTCGAACACCCGCGCTGGCATGCCGGCTTCGTCGACGACATTGACATCGCTCGTGGCGTCGCATACGCATTCGACCGTTGCTTCGCTAACTCCGCCCATCCCGAGCACTTCGTCCGAAGCGTCCACGAATCGAACTTCGTCCATCCGAACTCGCGCGAAGTCAAGATGCTCCAACGTTCCAGCGGCACCATCGTCGCGGGCACTTCCAACTTCCACGTCGTCGTCGAAGCACCGGGCATTTCCGCACTTTGCGCCTGCGCTGCTGCTTTAACTTCGCGCAATCGACGCTGCTCCTCTTGAGCAGCCCGCTCCGCCTCGTCGGCCTTTCGCGCCGCTTCTTCTTTGCGGCGTTCACGCAACAGTTGCTCCACGGCCTCCAGCGACCCCAACGTTTGGAGAGCAGTTTCCAACATCCCTCGAGCCGCAATCCGCTTGAGTTCTGCTTGACCTTCGGGTCGCTTCATCCAACTCGAGGCCGCTTGCACTACCTCGAACGGCTCAGGCATTTCCGCCTCTTCCTCGCCAGTCTAGTCGACGAGAAGCACTTCGCCTTCTTCACCATCGTGGGCAATTTCGTCCGCCTCGCGCTAGTTTGCCCCCCCCCTCCCGACATTCCGACAATGTTGATGGCCGAACCCATCAAGTCACGCGCGTCCATCACAACCTCTCCACGATACAGTGCCGGAAGTCCGGATATGATATGCAACGAATTTCTCATATCTCATGCTCTATTGGTGGAATTTTTGCTGATCGGCGCAATCGACAGAGTTTGCTGGATAAGAAACACAGAATGCAGCACTCTTTTGCTTGAAATGAGTGAAATGAAAAAGGCGGGAAACAAAGTTTTCACACGAGGAACTCAGAATATGACACTTGCGAAATTGCATTCAATACACACTCCAATCTCGCAAATAACACATTGTACGACTGCACCTGCCTACAATTCAATACGACCAAGCACCAAGCACTCTGGAATGGGACGTGGCGTCATACTTGACGAGTTTGGACGTGGCCAGGTTGCCGCGTGGGCGGCACTCAATAAATCCGTTAACTTCATGGCAACAAGCCTCGGGAGGTCCCGTGGCGCCATCACACGATACCTGCGAAACCCAGCGATGTATGGACAGCGTTACCGTGGCGGAAAGCCACGCAAAATGTTCTTTCGCAAAAAAGGCGCCTTTTCCGTGACGCTTCAACAACCGGTGCATCCTTTGCTGCCCTTGTCCACCAACTGGAACTGCCTGTGTCTGCCCGGTGGATTTGTGCCCTATTGTCTTACAAAGAAAATTTCGACTATATTAAACGCAATTCGACCCCCAAGTTGACCGAGGCCCATATCAAGGCAAGACTTGAATATGAGAATGCCAACCTCATTTCACCGCCAGATTGGAGCAACATCATCTGGTCAGATGAAAAAAATTCAACCTGGATGGGCCCGATGGCCTCCAACATTACTGGCATGACCTTCGGACCGAGCCTCAGACGTGTTTTTCACCCCAATTTGGTGGAAAGAGTGTGACGATTTGGGGTGGCTTTTCGAGCCGCGGGCTCTGCGAATTGGCTTCCCTGGAAGGCAACCAGACGGCGGTCAAATATATGTGGACATTGCAGGACCATCTCTTCCCGTTTGCCCATTTGAATTATGGCGACTCGTTCGTTTTCATGCAAGATGGGGCCTCCATACATCGTGCGAAGGACACCATGGAGTTTTTGGAACAGCAAAACGTTACGCTTTTTAAGCATCCTGCTTTGTCGCCTGACCTGAATCCTATTGAAAACCTCTGGGCAATTGTTGTGCGTGAGGTCTATGCCTATGGAAAACAGTACAATTCCATTGAGGATGTCATTTGTGCCATCAAACTGTCGTGGTCTCGAATTGGGTTGTCTACTCTCCAGGGAGGGACTCATTGCTTCTATGCCTCGGCGTTGCATTGCTGTTTTGGCGGCCAAAGGTGCCATCACAAAGTACTAATGTGATTTGCTCGTCATAATTCATAATGCAAGTTGAGTTTTCATCGAATGTCATATTCTGACTTCCACACCTGAGAACCTGACCTGTACGCTTTCTCGCACAATTCCACAAATCAAGCAGTAAATGAGCATGTAGTACTCATTACTTCATTGCATTGAGCACGTGAAGCAATCCCTGTGACTATTTCGCTCTCTGTGTTAGTGAACCATTCCAAACTCAAGGGTGTCATATCCAGAGTTCCGGCACTGTACGACTCCCGTTGGTTTCGTTTTGAGTGGGGAGGGTGTAACAGTTATATGTACACATGTCAAAGATCTTCCTTCATTGACATTGAAGTTGACCATCCAAAGGTTGTAGGCGACCTCACAACAAGTCGCCTGGGTTGCTAGCGACTCCTCCCACGAGTCGCCTTAACTTTCCATGTTCATGTAGCACAGCTACAGTGCGCGAAATAAAGTATGTGCAATCACATTTCAAGCATAACTGCTTTCCATGTTGCACAATGAACTATGAAAACTGTCTCCAAGGGATAGGAATAGCCCATTCCTCCAAGGCACCATCGAATATTAATTGAACGATGTGTTGTTAGGAAGACCAGACTTAAAATCGAAATATACTGGCAAATATACCGCGAAATAATGATAGGCACAACCAAGTCAATGCATAATACAAAGTTCAATCTACCGTATTAGTAGTTCATCTTTTTTCCACGATTCAAAAGAACTGCAGCACAACGCTTAGGCATTGACTCCACGAGCTTGTAAAGTGTTTCCTGACTAATTTCATCCCATGCCTTCAAAATTGCGTTCTGAAGGCTTTCACGAGACAAAAATTGGCGTCCATTGGCATAAAGCTGGCGGGCTAGGATAGCCCAAAGGTTTTCAATTGGGTTAAGGTCGGGCGACATGGCCGGCCACTCCAACAGAACAATGTTCTGGCTCGACAGCCACTCCTTCGTTTCATGACTGGTGTGGATTCTCGCGTTGTCTTGTTGAAACACAAAATCAAATCCGTAGTTGGTATGGCCAAAGGGCAGCATAGAGTCGGAGAGTGTCGTCACATATTCGGTGCTGTCTCGTTTTCCTTCCAAGACACGCAGTTCCGCCTTGCCTTTGGAAGAGAAGGTCCCCAGACCATAACAGAACCACCACCATTTTGCCGCTTCGAGTAGAGCTGTTCGTCGGTGCCTAACTTGTGCCAGTAATATTGCCAACCGTCAGGACCGTCGAGATTGAACTTTTTCTCGTCCGAAAAGATGACAAAAGTCCAATCTCGACGGCTCGACACTTGTCTTGGGCAAACTTGACCCGTGCTTCTTCGTGTCTCGGTGTCAACTTCGGGGTACTCTTTCGCTTCTTGTAAACGTTGCCAGGGTGGGCATGCAAAATTTGCTGAAACGCGACGGTGGGACACAGGAAGCGACAGGTTTGACACCAACTCACGACAGCTTGAACGACCCTTGCTTGCTTCACGAAACAACAGGCGCAGCGACGTGGTGGACATTCGGGGTGAACGTCCGGGGGACTTTGCGACTCCATACATGTCTTTGTTCTTCAAATAGCGCGTAATTACACCATGTGAGCGTCCAATCTCTTTACAAATTTGGCGAGGTTTGTACCCAGCGCGGGAAAAGGCCTATATTTGCGCGCGTTCGACTTCGGTGAGGGATTTGCCTCTCCCCATGGATGGTTGAAGCAAATGACAAAGTGAGTACTTGATTTTATACTTGTCATTTGTTGGAACATTCTTGATCCTGCTGTGGAACCTGAATTCAATTGATTTGGCTTGGCTGTGGTGCTGATATACAGCGTTGACTTGGGTGTACCTATCATTTTTTCGCGCCAAAATGCTTATGAGTTCGAGAAAAATCATCGTAGCTCGGCAACAAAGTGTTCAATGAAAATATAACCACTTGCAATTGGTTTCTCCAATCAAAATCATTCTTAGGTCAAACTACGTGTGTGAAAGGTTAAAATCCTAAGAGTTTTGACCAATCACACACGTGTATCTATCTATATTTCGCGCACTGTAGATAGCATATCCCTGCCAATTCATTCTTCATTTTACCTACTCCTTCCTCTGCGTGTGCCCAGCTACACCCACGTAGCAGCAGTCCGTGCCATCGTACCGTGCGAAAGGGGGTGCTCGGTCTCTTGCGATACGCGCGAGTACATCACCGCCAAGAATTTCAAATGTCGAACGCAGATGACGCCGTCACATGTGATCGCGGTGACAAAGCGGGGGAGGGGGCACTTCCTGGAGTTGGCGTGCTCATGGATTTCAAACGAGTGCCGCGGTAGCGCTTGAAGCATGAAAACAAGAATGGCTTAGTCAATGGCGCTTGCAGAGAGCGACAACGACTGCTCCAAACGCACCATGCTCGGAATCTGGTCGCCTGCACTGACGGACACCCTCACCAAAGAAGGCGCAGCCACTGGGGATAGCTCAATGGTCTAGCTTCGACAGGTCTCCAAAAATCAAAATCAGCACCCCCATGCGCATGAAGGTGTGTAGTCAGAGAGAATCGAAGGAGGACGTTCGGTCATGAGTCGGCCTTGCAACATCGCCACAAGTACACGAGCCAGTGCGGGTAGCTGCTGGGATCGATTGACTACGACAGAACGCCGCAAAACCAACGAGAGTGCGATTTGTACATGGCTGTTCAAAATTGAGTTATATTGGAGAAGAAGGTCGCCGGTCGTTGGGGATGTCGCGTGGCGAGCTCGGTGATCGCGACGATGATGGCCTTTGGTTGCTAGGAATGGGCACGGACATTCGTCGAACCTCGGGAATCGTGACGGCAAGGCGACGGACGTCGTGGTCGGGGCTGTGGGAGACTTCAATCCACGACGTCCACCGCGTTCGCCTGAGTTTCCATCGAATGCCGTGATTTTGAAAGACGTCCTTGCGATTGATCCGACAGAGGACGCGTCGCAAGTGCAACTCGACCTGGCATTGCGATCGTGATATGGACAAACAACGTTGGATCGACTGATACCTCCGACGTGCACGGCCGCGCACAGCAAAACATGAGACCGCACGTGAGCGCGTACCCAACGTATGCGTACACGACGCAGCAAAGGCATGGAAAGTAGTCGGCGACGGTTTGGTTGATGGCGCCAATCGCTGCGCAAAACTCCTTCTCGGCCATGAGACTCTGCAAGGGCGGGGTGAATGTGTCCGCGTACTTTGCCGCCATGCCGTCGGTTGCAACAGTCCCGACGGGTTTCAGTCGTGCAAGAATAATGACCTGCGACTCGCCCGACTCGAGATTGGCCTGTTCGTCGCTGTCATCATCGTCTGTGTAGTCGCCGTCGTGATGGTGGTCGTGTTTGTTCAAGAGCGGCTCCTCGAGCGCCGTCGAAGCCATTGGACACAGAATACGACTGGCGCCACTTCATGTTCATGCTCTTTCCAGGACGATCATCGCTTGTCGTTCCATTCGAACGACAACTTGCAAAACATTTCTTCGTTTTTGTACAATCGTATTTTACAGATATCAAAATAACATTATAGCAAAATGCATCATTTTTTGCAATTGTTTTCGACTTTTTCGTCATTTTCTAATGTGCAACTGAGAACATGCTCGAGACGGCGATGATCACCAGCGCGAAGGCCGCTGCCGCCACAAACACCACGGAGAAAGGGCATGGACGATCATATAGCGCAGAGGGTCGGTCTGTGCATCGAACGACGTACTCGGGACGGTGGGCTGTACGGGATGTTGTCATTGGCAAGCTTCAAGTTGACACCAAGATGACACGTGAAGACTCACAAGACTGTCATTAAAACGTGCCGAGGATCTCTCTACTGCTGCTCCAGCGGGCGGGTTTCACGCTCCAAGTACGCCAACGCCGACGGCGCGTCTTGCAAGAGCGGGGACAACTTGGCTCGGACTTCGGCATGGTATGCGTCCACCCAGGCGATTTCGTCGCGAGTCAAGACGGATGCATCGATGAACTTGCGTTGGATCGGAATCATCGTGATCGTTTCGAACGTGCAAAACTTGCCATACGCCGAGTTGACGACGGTCGGCGCCTGACATCCAGCATCGTCAACCACGCATTTTAAGGGGACGCATCCGACGTACCTCGACGACCACCATGAGGCTTTCAATTCGAATGCCAAATGCGCCATCTTCGTAGTACCCAGGCTACAGGTCGATCGCTGTCTGAGCACGGAGGGGACGAGACCGACCACGGACGCACCTCGTTGCTGACAATCATGTTTTCAGCAATGAGCAGCCCCGTTGGGTTCAACTTGAACGACATCAACTAGACAAAAGCGCCGACTTGACCGGTCGTTCTGCATGCGAAAGAGGCATCAACACGTACCACGCCCTTTTCATGAACGTTCAAGAAAGACCCGACCCCGTGGCCCGTGCCATGGCGGTAATCCAAGCCGACCCTACGACACTCCGTTGACCTCGTCCGACCATGCAAAACCAGAGACCCGAGGGTCCTTGAGACATGGATACGTACTTCCACAGCGGCGCACGAGTGATCGCGTCGAGCTTGACGCCTTCGATTTCATTCGGAAACACCGCCTCATTCTTCGAGTCAGCAGAGACACCGATACGACGACATACCGTGGCCAGCGCAATGTGCGCCTTGAGAACATGCGTGAAGCAGTGAATTTCATGCGCAGTGGGCTGGCCCAAGTGCACGGTGCGCGTGACGTCGGTCGTTCCGTCCAAGTACTGGGCCCCCGAGTCATTCAAGTACACTTGGTCCGTCGTGATGCGGCCGCACTTGGCTTCGTCGGTTGCCTACATCGTCGTTCAGGGGCGTCTCTCCACGGAAATGGCATGCGAAGATGGACATACATGATAATGAATGATCGCGCCGTTCGGGCCAGATCCGGAAATCGTGCCAAAGCTCAACGACTTGTAGTGCTCCTACATGGCATGCACCCTCGACGTGATCTCCCATGTTGAACAGGTCTCCTTGCGCAGGTCGAACGAGTTGGATGGCGCACCATTTGTTGGCGAAACTCTTGCTGCTTCTTGTCGGCCGCGACTTCGGAGATGACTTCACCCGCCGCGATGGCCTCTTCCAGCCACGAGAAAAACTTGACTTGCGCCACGCCGTCGCGAAGATGAGCGTTCTTCATGCCTTGAATTTCCACGGGATTCTTGAACGCCTTTTGACGAAGCACGATCGACGGCGATTCCTTTCGGAGCGCCAGGGGGATTGCGGAAAAGATTGCAACATTGCATTGCGCCGGGTCCACGAGGATCGTCGCGTCCGGGGTTCCCGCGGCGTACGCTTCCAGCTACAACACGCCAAGTAATTCGTGGCGAACTTGTGTGCGGCGACGCTTGCAAGATTCAAGGAAGGATGGCTCCCGTGCTCTTAGACTCGATCTTACCTCGGCAATGATGGAATCGTAGGGTTTCACTTGCACCTAATTCGGACGACCCAAATGAGTCAAATTGTGGTCGCAGGTGCGGCAGGCCGTACGTCGGATCCAAAGTGGGCGAGAACTTCGGGAGTAAGCTCCTTGGCGTCCACAAACAGAGTCGCCGACGAGAGTGTCACCAGCGCGTACGAAATGCTACAACCGATCGATGCTCGTGAAAACCACAAGCTCGCAACCGTAGCTGCGTCATGGCAGCAGCGGCTGACTTACACAACCGGGTTGAATTCGACGTCGGAGCCGCGGACGTTGAACATCCACGCAATGTCGTCGAGCGCCGTCAAGACAATAGCGGTGGCTTTCTTCTTGTCCAAGTCCGCGCGAACCTGCGCGCACGATGATCCAGTTAGACAATTCAGTAGCCCTCCTCATGCACGTATGTTCGTACGTTTTGCAATTTTGTCGCGATCGACGCGCCCGTGAAGTGGTCCCCGAGGACCTGCAAATCGGACGGGACGCGAGGGGGCTGGTCAGCACCCCACACTTGGTCAACAACGTTCTGGCCCCATTCGCAGCACACAATCGACGCCTTGGCCTTGGACGCGGACTCGACAAGGCGGCGTGCCGTGGCCACGGACGTCAAGAGGGGGTCGATCGCTAGAGCGTCACCAGCTTTCAGGTTTGCTTCCACCCACTCTTCCACGGTCGGCACGTCCTTCTGGAGTTGGCGCATGAGGGTCCATTCCTTGGACAACTGACTCTCCGCTTGCAAGAAGTACCGACCGTCCGTCCACAAGTACGCTTGGTCGTGTGTGATCAACGCTGTGCCGGCGGATCCGTCAAAACCGGACACAAACGCCCGGCGCTTGTCGCGAGCGCTCACGTATTCGCTTCCGTGAGCATCTTCGGACTCGATGAGAAGCGCCGCCACACGAGCAGGTGCGTCGCTCGCTTGAATGCGGAGTTCTTTGTCGAGGACACGAGGCGCGATGCCTCCAAACGCGCGGCGAATTTTGTCGAGTGTAGGCGACATGCTATAATTGACAATGACGACGGCCGGTCTGGATTGGTCGAAATGGGATAACACAACTGCCCTAGCCCCATTTGAACTTGCCATTTGCATGGCCCCCGACTGGAGAACCAGGAATGGGGGGACCCATACATCATGTGCTCAAGTGCATCCTGGCCCAATCAATCCATCACAACGAAAAATGGGGGGGGGTCCAAGCATTTTTATGGGACCCCTCTGCCCACCCGAGTTGTGATTCACGAGTTGTTCTTGAAGTTGACATTTCAAACATGTGAATTTCTCTGATAAAACAAGGACGGGAGGTCCACCGCAGCAGCAGATCTCCTCCGAGCCCACCACCGTCGTCGATAGTGCCACACGCAATCGACCCCCTCACGTACGAAACGTGTATATCGGAGAGTTGGAGCGTGGCGGGCGTTGCCCATGTCACGTGTCATTCTCGCATTGTCCTGGCCCTTGACCAATGAGCACAAACGAAAGACATTCCCATCCAATACGATAGGCGGTCCCACAGACGACAACACAAGGGGCGGAGTGATGCATGGATTGCCGCTTGAACGAATCAGGTGGAACCGTACCGACGTGCCCAAGCAGATCGACTCTGGGTTGGACGCACTTGAGCCCCATGACTGTCTCAAGCTGCTTCACCGAATGAATTGTTTGCGCCGGGGCCAGGTCAACGGGACTGGACTGTACTGTTGTACGTGGAGCGACACTTGCGTCGTATGTCTCGAGGTAGTGCCGCAGCTTGGTCAAACTTTGACGACTAGCATGCCTTCGAGTTCCGCCAACTTGGCACGAGCATCAAAAAGCACCAGGTGGGAATTAACAGTAGACGCACTTAACTGGGCTTGCGTATATTTCGTGGAGTGCGGAAAATCGTCATGTTCGTGGCACGCGGCATCCAGGTTGGGTGGACGCGGCGGTCGTTGTCGACATCGTCTGGTGGTGGGTTCCACTTTCCGTCGCCGCGATCGCTTCAGTCTCTTGTGAAGCTGGATGACCTGGAAAAGGAAACGCCGGACGCAATTCGACGCATTTGGGGCGAGTACCATGACGCCAAGACCGACGCGTTGGGCACGTCGTTGACGGCGACCCAACTCGACACGTTGACTGCGCGAGGCAAGAAGTGTGCGTTCTTTGTCTTTCCTGTATACCGCACCAATGCGGAAACGAAGGAAGAAGGCTTCTTCACGATGTTGTCCCAGTTCCAAGACAAGTGCTTTCTCCTCACGACGTTGGACGCCTACCGAGAAAACCCATCTCAAGCCCCGCCCTGCCTCACTGTGTCGATTTATGACGACCTTGTGTCGTCAAAGGAGCTCGCATTGGTGCGTGGAGATGTCGCCAACGTCCTCGACAAGCCAGAAGCGTCCGAGTTGCTGACCGCGCTCCTCGCTCGGTACGTAGACGACGACCTGTTCAAGACCGTGGAGGCGTTCAACTTGAAGCCGCACGACTTTAACTTTGACGCGTACTTGGCAGAGTGCAAGAAGAAGCGGCAAATCCCTTAAGATAGAATACGTTTCAGCCAGTATAAATCAACACGTTATGCGGTGCGCAATACTGCTTGGCAAACTGCACGCCGTCTCTCGTGGGCTGGGAGAACGCGACTTTGGTCTTTGGAATCGTCATGCCGTAGCTTAGAGTCTGTCGCATCACGTCCACCAACGTCTGTGCGATCCTTTGGCGGCGATGAGAGGGATGTACCCAAATGTGGCTCACGCCAACCATGACCTGGTGAACTTGTGCAAATCGGTCGATGGTCACAACGTCCGATGTGGATGTTAATTCGTGTGCTGTTGCAACATCTTCAACGGATACGACACCCACGACGCGGTTCAGGTGCAAGTACAAGAAATGCTTTTGCTTCAAGAACACAGCTTCGTCGACGAGTCCAAGTGCATCGTCCAGCAAAGCCTTGATCTACATCGCTCTCATGAGATACAAAGTGGCGAGATATGTCTACCTGCAGCAACTTCTTAACGTGTGCGGGCGCGTCTTCGCCTCGTATTTCAATTATTCGTGCCGATTTTGATTCCAGAGTCCGATGCACACGCTCTGACCGCCACCCCGATATCAAAATCCCTTGGCCCACCTTCTTGCAGAACTGAGCGTGAGCTTTGTCGTCAGACTCAACCCCGTGCATATAAAGAAACCCACATGCAGAGCACGTGCGGTCACCAACGTCCTTTTGCCCCAAGTCCAGAAAGAGCTGTTGATGATGCTTGGGCTTTTTCCTTGGTAGGTCCGCGTCCACCCTTGTCTCCAGAGCATCCGCATCGTTACTTCTTTTGCGGGAGAGCTTTGATGCACCAAGACGCGTCGTCATAACGGAGGCTTCTGACATCCGTCGGTTCATTAGGACGTCGAATGCATTGAGCTTGGTCATGTTGAATTCGACGATGGAGCCGCTCAAATGTGGCGAAATTGCGCGCAAATGCTGGGGCTATTTTAAAAAATTACATTCAATCCGATATTGAATTTTAATACTAATGACATCCGCCCCTTTCCCGCGTCATTTGTGGTCGAATGCGAAGTATTCCAACTATCATATTGTCCAAAAGTTGGCCTTTTTCGATGGGAAAATAAAATATCCAATTTTAAATACTTGTAAATAGTTACAAAAGGAATTTCATGAATAACCATTTCAAATGTACATGTAATATAAAATAGTGCTAGATTTCCATAATTGTGCGAAAAAATGAAGTAGTAGTGTTATAATGCATGTAATATTACGTCAAATATTTTTTATGCGGATCCAGCTATGGAAGATTTTGATGTGTAAAAATCACATTTATCTTTGGTCAACTCACAATGCCATCTCGGTCGCTCTGAGGGCGTCCGGTCTCCTATCTCTATTTGGATCCTGGCGCAAAGAAGCTCATGCTGAAGCTTCGGCGAAAGCTGACTGTGGCATACCCTTGATACCAAGTGGTGCAGCAAACAGGGCAACTATTGCGTCCGCTGGTCTCACGGTATCCATTGAGGCAATTCACGTGAACCCACGAGAGGCTGCACTTGCATGGACTTGGGATGAGTTCGCTTGGGGGCGTGTGAGAAGATCGAGGCTCGGTACAGTCGCACATGAAGCAGACGCGGACAACTGTCTCGCAAGGCAGAGACGCGGCGTGAAAGTCGAGAGTTGATTCGGTGTCGGATTGCGAGCCCAGCGTGGTGCGCGAGGATGCAGCCCTGAGGCTTCGAGCGGACGTAGAAGGGTGGAACAGTACGTCGGGTTGATTTGGGAGGATGGTTTCCATGGACGGGAACGCTGCATCGTCTGTAGGCCTCCTCTTCCTTCTCCATGCGAGCGGTGTTGCAACGTCTGGTGAGCCACCGTCGTTGAAGCGACTCACGGGCGATGTGGACTTTCTGTTGGATTGTGTGAGCGGGGGAGCCGACGAAGACAACGACGTCGGTGCAGGGACCCCAAGGAGAAACAAGAGTGGTGCAAACACTTCTCCTGCTGATGCACGTCGATTCCTTCTCGGCGAAGATGGCTCTTCTCTTGACATATCCATGCTGCCGCAGCTCGGCTCGATGGATGCCCGTCGTGAGAACATGCATGGAGCGGCGGCAAGCTCCTGGTTCTTTCTTCGTCACACACGTTTCGCAAACTTGGAACGTTCGTGCGCTATTTTTGATCTGTTGCATCTCGTGTGTATGACATTCCACAATGGCCAGAGTATAAATAATCCATCCTTTATTATGAGTAATGAGTAAGGGTGGCGGGCACTGGCTTTTTCAATCGTTTTTTCAGGTTTTAATATAAAACCCAATTGTCTGAGGTTGAACAAAATCGAGTTTTATTCGGAAAATCGGGTTTTAATAGCGGACTGCGCTCTTTGTTGAGAGGTGGGCAATTGACAGTTTCCATTTCACTTGAAATCATGTCCGACATCGTTATGGAGGCGGAGGCCATCGTCATCGATATCGAAAGCGACATCGCCGACGACAGCAATATCAACTCTGATCCTAGGTCTGGTGCAGGCGGTGATCCATTGAACCACAATGGCAATGTTGATGCAGCTTCTGGAGGGCGTAAACGTGGTCGGCAAGGCAGTGACCTGAGGAGTCTCTAAACCGACGGCGTTAACCTGCACCAGCACAAATCGGCCCTCTGTAAGCACTGCAGCGTGCTCGTGAATAAAGCCATGGTTTTAATACCCATGAATCGGGTTTTAATTATTAAAACCTTAAACCCGATTTGTCAGGCGAAATATCGAGCTTTTACCACCCCTTGCAATCAGCGCAGAATTGAATCATTTATATATTCTTATAAATGAATCGGTTTCACATTCCTCTGCTCTGTCGTCCGGACGGTTCAATGGTGTGGACATAACAACTTGAAATCGAGACACGAGGACTCATCCTTTTATCCTGTAAATTGTATCGAATAAGAGAAGGGTTATTGACAGAAATATCATGAGGCCATTTATACACCACGAGGTAAATGTTGTTGCATGAGTTAGCTAGCGTTATCTTGCTCCGTCACCATCGCTGCTACTCCCACTATTTTCGAACTCACTCACCCACTTACCAGCTCCAATCCCAGCATCATCAAGAGCGTGGAGGTATCTACAAAGGACCTTCATCTTCACGTTCGAAGCAGTTGTAGATTGAAGCGCTGGGAAGAGGCGCAATATCTCAAGCGTCAGGGCAGGTGGACGCTGCGTTGGGTCAACGTCGTCGATGTCTTTGAAGTTGAATGATATTTCGATTAATTCTCTGTCGTTTTTCATTGGAAAATCGGGAGAACCAATACATGTGTAGAGCGATATCGCGAATGATGTCGGAATAATAGTAGTGCAGAACAAATATTACAAAAAACTCATTTTTGAACATGAATTTTCTTGTCATGTACTGTGAGCGACGCTGAATAAGACTGCTGCACCTACATGTATCTGTGGTTGGACCGAGGGCATGGGAGTATTGTCGAATCAGAGACTACGAACTCTGAAGGATTTGACAAAATCAAACTATACACAGACTTTTAAGTTTAGAGGAATTTTTACGACATTCTAAATATTGCAGATTAGTCTGCTGTATTTAGAATTATACTTCGTAGGATGTTCTTACACTTCCTAATGTATTCCAGAACAAATTTTCTCTGTGTCAATGGATAAATTTCATTTACACACTGTTAAGTTGGCTCTCACTGATCAGCTGCGATCCATCGCCCAATAGAATCGCAAGAATCATCTGATTGGATGAAACATATTACTCCAGCAACTAAACCCCTCATAATTTTATGGTTGGAAAATACATTAGACTTCATAGGTATCAAGTGTGAGCTATTTAACCTAAAGTGTTGAAATGTACTCCAATAACAAAAACCCCTCCTTCAAGATATTATTCCTGCACAAAAATGGAATACCTCTATAAGATGATATGCTGGAAGGTTTCACCCTTCATTTCTCATAGTTTAATCAGTATAAATTTGGCTACAGTAATCATAGAGTCCTGCTTGAGAGGGCATTTTGAACATTTTTTTGCTCCTTTGCTGAAATTGCCATAGGTTACCAGCTCATCGTATTCAGCATGTCTCGACGATTTTCAACACATACCTCATCTCTTGTGGTTGTAAATATTGCGCGAGATAGACTCAAGTTTGGGCCAACATTAACGTAATCGAATTTTTCACTGAAAACGAACGAAACGATCTCTGGCTGCAATCGACGACTGTTAATTCATTTTCCATCGACATTCACTTCTCGAAAAACGACGTGCTTGCGTCACGACCGTCCATGTGATGGCTTGCCCCAGGGGCCATGAGTGCCAACCGAGGATTCAATCCCTTCTATAGCGCCAGGTAGCCTTCTTCATTTAAGATGGCTTCATGAGCATGCACGAATCCCTTGTACTTGGGCTCTTGTCTACATATAGTGAACAGAGAAATCAGTCCCGTTTTGATCACGTCCATTGCCTTATTCAACGACAGGCCCACGTTTCCCGCGACCATTCCATTCATCAACTTCTTCCCTACTTCAAGGACTTTCCCGTCGCTCCTTGGCTCACAGGATCGAGTTCATCCACGCAAACACGGAGAAGTTGCATGCTTGGTTGCTGGCTTGGTGCAGCATCATAGGGACGTTGACTTTCTAAAGCGCTGACACCCCTTTGTTCACGATCAAGTGGCCGGTCAGATCAATCGGGCCGTTGAATCGTCCGTTTTCAACTTCCTTCTGTAGCCGGGTCTTGACTACAACGAAAGGGGTCACGATCACGATGGACTCCAATATTCCCGTAAGCCTCCTTGAGGCAAAATTCACGCGGCTGGAGGATTTAGTGCCTGGGTTGTTCCCCAACGACTCCTTGAACTTGGCATACAATCCTAAGCGAAGTGCACACTTAAGCGTGCGATGATGGTCCTTGTATAATGCGATCACTTCCTCGGTCGCATCGATCGTTGTACTAAAGTGCCACATGCCCTTGAATGTCCCACGTGATCCAACTGTAGACGACGCTTCGTCATGTCCAACAGGCTAGCATCTGTACATGTTGCAACTTTGGTCTTGGCATCACCCGTGGCATGCTGAAGCACTTCAGCCGTCGGACGATGATGGTGACAGCAGGGGCAGTGGGTGAAGTAAATCAAGGGAGGTAGAGCTCAAGGGCTCATCGATGCTCACACCAACGATTACATACAAAAACCAAGTGATTTCGTTCAACATGTTCTGCATACTGTGTGTGTTTTTCGGACACACACAGTTCATTTCGGTAAAGCTCTACCAAAGCTGGAAATCCTTGAAAGGGCTGTCGTGCGTGAATGGGAGCTCGCGGCAGGCGTAGCGGCCGTGAAAAGTCCTTTCGTTTTTGTATGCTTATACCTCACGCCGATCCTACAATAACTTCTACCTTCAACATGCCCAGGATGGTGAATAATATAGCTAGATATAAAACGTTTTACAAATTGCAGGTTCGAGACAAAAATCCTGAGGCACAATTCTGTCAACTTAACTTCATACAACAACGAATTCTCAAGCCCGGCTGTGGAACTTGTCGGAATCCCCGAGATGATGCAGGAGTCGTGCTTGACCCCGCAAGTATTGCACTGTGTGAATTTTGACCTCTGTACCCTGTCATGCTCTGAAGCGAGAAGTTGGCCATGGGGAGAGGCGGGAGGGAATTAAAGGATTATGAGGCCCCACGAGGTGGAAGCACTCCCTCTTGCGGCACGAGGATACTGTCAGGTATACTCATGTGCGCAGTAAAATCTCGTTCAAACGACATTATTATAAACGATTTGAGCGATTGTTCCCTCAGACATTTTTAACGTAAGTTAACTAATAAAATTTGTACCAATCAGAGAACAACTATAGCCACACAGACTCCTCGTCAAAATATCAGGCAATTTGGGAAAGGTCACTATTTTGAAAGAACTGTTATCGGTGTGTATCCGGACGGTTCGTTAAAGTTCGAATCCAACGACGTCCACACGCAGCGCGCGGCATCCCCCACATATTCGTCATGGCGGCAGTTAACACAAAGAAGCCCTTGCGTCGAGCTACATGTACGTGTCCGGCAAAATGAACTGGCGCCGTTCAATGATGCTGACAGCTCGCTTGTAGACGTTAAAGTCAAGGACCTGGCGCCAGCAACCAAAGGACACTGCTTGGTGGTCCAAGTTCATGCAATTGATCCTGCCACTGAAAAGACTCGGATCGACGGGTCCATTGTTCGGATAGTTGAAGCCACTGTCGGGGACGAAACAGGCACGGTCGTACTAAACGCCAGAAACGGTACGTTGCTTTTGGTGGCATATCACGATGTGCTAGCTCCGTTGACAGCAGCCGCTTGGTAGAACAAATCAAGTTGGTTGAAGTGGGTCGGGTGCTGGTGATTCGAAATGCCAGTGCTGATGTCTACAATGGCTTCTTGCGTCTGAACGTGACACAATGGGGCAAAATTGCACCTCACCCGGACGGAATTGCATCGACTCCCCATGCCCCACAGTCCGTCAATACTTCCAACAATGTTTCCGGCATTGAGTACGAGCTAGTTCCCGCAGAAGACGTAGACCACGAAGAGGGCGATGGCCACCACGATTAACGCGCCTCGCTGGACGACCCGACCTGTCTGCAACACGAGAGCGCGCAACGTCCTCCATGCAAACCCAACCTCTCGTCTACGGCATTATTGCTTAAGGACGGATTGTAATATGGCGATAACATGGCGTATGCCCACCAAGTGCAAACTGATTCTTCCAGCTCTCTCCATCCGCAATGCTTGTTGGCTCACATGCATCGCAGCGTGAGTGGTGTCGAATTTTCATTAATCCACAGCTCGATGCGGAACCACAGACATTCATGCGACCCCCTGCTTTGTCGATTCCGGTACGATTCCTGCTGGGGTCATGGCAATGATCATCCAGCACTCGCCGCGGGCGTGTCTCTCACTGTGATTGGTGTAAACTCCTACACTTTTCACCAATCATGTTTGTCCAATGGAAATGCAGGTGGAGGAATCTTGACGTGTGATTGGTGGAGATCCTTATAGGGATTGGTGGCTCCCGCAGTCGCCGGCCGGACCTGGCCTTCCGCCGCCATTTCTTGACTTGTAATTGACTCAACATGGGTGTCCGAACCAAGACCGTGAAGCGCTCCGCGATCCAAATCATTGAAAAGTATTATGCTCGCTTGAACTTGGACTTCGACTCGAACAAGCGTGTCTGCGACGAAGTCGCGATCATCCCGTCCAAGCGCATGCGCAACAAGATTGCCGGCTACATCACGCACTTGATGAAGCGCATCCAACGTGGCCCCGTACGTGGCATCTCGCTCAAGTTGCAAGAAGAAGAACGTGAGCGCCGCTTGGACTTTGTCCCGGATGTCTCTGCCATCAACGTTGAAAACATCGAACTCGACAGCGACACCCGCGACTTGTTGGCGCACTTGGAAATCACCCTCCCCGGTGTCCGCGCTGTCCAGGTAATAATGCGGAGCCATTCACATGGTGTACCCATCCATCCTGCATGAGAATTCGGTTGCCCTTCCACGAGCTCGTCGTTGAATGTCACTCTGACAAGATACATTCACCCTCGATCCGGTGGTAAGGGGGATGGCCCTGCGAACCTGCGTGGTCTCTATGCCCACACGCGCTCGCAGGACCTCAACGCCCTGTGTTGCTGGTTTTGTTTCGATTGTCGTTGTTAACGACATCATTCTTGTAGGGCCGTGAACATTAAGTTGGGTAGTATGTTGGTGAATGCACTTTTAGTGTAACTTAACAAGTCAGGTTGAACCACCCCATGCGCTTCATGTGAGCTTGTGTTCGATGTTCAGGTCGATGTAGTGTGAGCAAAGCGCGTCGTGCTTGCTGTGTAGGAGGACTAGCACGTTGAAACGTGTGGCGCGACCCTGCGAGCACGTAATGGCTTCGATCTCGACCATATCGTTTGACAACGGGAGACTATCCTCCATGGCTCAGCGTTTAGTGCTGTAGCCGTCAACAAGGGGCGCCTTGTTGGCGGCGTTGCAATTCTACACGTGATGAAGAGTTGCGGAAACAACGACTGTGTTCCTTGACTTTCCATGCAGTCGGAGACATTGCGCGACCTGGACGCAAGAACTAGCATAGCTTCCATCGTGGCGGGGGTCGCCATCTTATGCATTACCACGGACGTGGATTTCATGTAACATTGAACTCAGTACATGCTGGATTGCTTCATGATGGAGAGAAACTCCTCCTGCGAAATCACTCCGTCTTGGTTCGAGTCGAATTCGTCGATCATGGCCTATCAAGACGTGCCCATCATGCCAATGTGTTGCCGCGGCACATGCACCTGCAACTCGTCATCTGTCAGGGTCTCGCCCATTTCTTTCGCGATGCGGCGCATGTTCTAGAGCAGTCCCAACGTCAGCGACGACGTCAAGCATAGGACGTTGCAAGAACCTTGAGTGTGATTTCCCCCGTCTGGTCGTCGTCAAAGAGCGCAAATGCCTACGACACGATCGCGACGGCAATTGTCAACCAAGACCAGAGTAATGCCTTATACCTTGATAATTTCTTCGTCGGGGTCTCGCGATGTGATTTTTCTGCGCACTAGACAGCGGTGTCCATAATGGTGTGGTTCCATCTCGATCGAAACGACTCCGTACTGATCTCCAAAAAGTCGTCCAAGTGCACCCGTCCCGACCGATGGACGTCGACTTCCTCCACGAGTTTGACCACTTCTTGCTTCTTTACATCAAACCCCAGAGCCCGCATCATGACCTACATGCGCCATGCGGCGTCAACAAGCACCCCGTTGCCGACTGTCGAACACATGCGGCACCTTGAGCTCGTAGTAGTCGACGCTGCCACTCTTATTCGTGTCAAACAGGTCGAATGCCTCGACCAGCTCCTTCCGTTGCTCGTCCGAGAGCTCTTGCCGTGGCTTCCGCCGCGTCACAAGCTTGTGCGTGGCAAACGGAATGTCCTTTCGATACATCCGTCCCACGAGCGATCAAAAAATGTGCCGCTTCCCCCCAAGATCGAAAATCTCGGGCCGAAACGCTCCGATTGGTTAGAACAGTTTTGCCGTTGCATGAACTTTGACGGTGCTCCTCATGGAGACGACGACGAGGGCTCTTGGACATGTACAAGAGCTGCAGGCATGGTGCAGGCATGGTGCTTTATGGAGGCGGTCGTGTGCTAGAGACTATGGTGGCCATGTAGTGATGTGTCCACCTTCCTCGCACTACGCATGGCGAGCGCGGCGGTGCAACAAACCATCGCATCACCAATCTGTACAATTGTGGTATCTCCCTAGCAAGGTACTATAAAGGGGGGTCCTTCGCCCCGGCCGTCGCGACTTCACAGACCAGATGCGTCACCGAGATCAGTGCTGCTCAAGTCCTGGTCCGAGAAGTTTTCGTCGCACGTGGGCAGGAAGCAGCCGTTCATCGCATCACCGACACTGCCTTCCACTGCCGTTGGGGTGGTGCTTTCTTCGGTCGTACTTTGACACCTGTCAAGTCGAAAGTGGGTGGTCCATACGCCGCCATCGTCGTGGTGGTCGTCAATGTTGTTGATGTGTTCATGCATGTCGGTTCGAGCAATGATGTCGAGAGTCTGCCTCCACTCGTGGGTTGTGTCGGCTGTCGTTGCAAAGTACGTGCTGTGGAAAGGAGATGGACCTGGAAGCCCTTCGTCGTCGCTCGAATCAGCATCGTCGTCATGCACCGCATCAGGGACTTCCGAGTCTTCCATTCCGTACTCGCCAAGTCCGTATATGCATTGCACGTCCATTTCGTTGGATTCTCGTCGATGGGCAATGATCAAGTTGAGCTCAGCTTCGACTGTTTCAAACGAGGAAGCTTCGCAGCCAGCATTGCCCAGGATCGTAGCTCTCTCGTCGGGATCCAAGTACCCTTCTTCCATGTAGTTTTGTCGGCATACGCGCCTACCCATGGGATCCGTGAGTGTCGAATGCATGATCATCCACAGCCACTTACTCATCTTTTCGCTCCAGTTCAAACGAATCCAGGCGCCTTCGGATCCTTCGGCGCTCCATGTTAGATAGCCCCACCTACATGCGCATGCCAACTCCCGTCATCGCCATCCTTTCACAGGCAAACGAGCAGTACCGGGACGCCGCCAGATGTGACCGTGGTCGTGAAGATGGTAGGTTCGAACTCGACAATGTCAGCGCCTTCGAATCCGACGCTTCGAACGCGCTTGAGTTCCTTCTTCGGATCGACAAACGCGGCATGATTTGGGCTCTTTGCCGTGATGCGATCGACAGGACTCACTGGTCCCACAAATAAATCGCTAGGTAGGGACGTCACGACAAAGGTTGCCATGTCTACGACAACACATGTGCTACTTAGTCATCATGGGAGAGCTAGAGCGCACGTCGACGTACATGATGCTTTGGGGGTCGATAGATTGGATCCACGGTCTTGTCGGGAGACTGTGGATGGGTAGGTGACCTCAAGGAATCGAATATTCAAAGTCGCGAGTTGAGTCGACAGGCTCGAAAAATGTCACCTCCAGAAAAAAATTTCGAACCAATCTTGCAGTTTGTATCGACAGGTCATGGGAGAGGCCGAAAACTTCCATTTTTTCGAATTTGATTTCCATGTCGATTGAGCCAGTGTGAACAGGAGATATTCCAGCGAGTCAGCAAATATGCAACGGCAGGTTGACGTGACAGACAATTTCGTATTTTTTAATTTACATCAATTTAGTATACCAAATGTCAGAGGTATTTTCCACGCCGACAATATGACTCACCCCTCCCGGCATCCTGTCTTTTTTGCTGATTTTTGTCGCTCAAAAAAGATATTTTTCGCCATGGCGTTTACCAACTGCAACTATTTTTTGAAAAATCCATTTTCGGATGACATATGTTACCACGCTGACCCCCACCGGCCTTTCCAGAGACTCGCCGCTGTCGATGGTAGCCAAGAAGTGAAATCTCCATGCAGGGCACCCCTCGAATATCGATCCTACCATCCTCTTCTCGCTGATACCCAGGACGAAGGTGATATCGTCGAGGCCACAACGGGCTGGCGTGCTTCCATCGGTGTGGTGCCATTTCATTCAGAGTTTGTAATTGCTTGGCGTTTTCCGGACATGATGCGGCAGGTTATCCGACGCTGTACGGTACACAACCAAAATTGAACACTTTACCACTCTCCCAACATTGTAAAGTTCGATGGCCAAGTCCCATTTCGCACCTATGCGAACATGTAAAATTCGCCATACATTGGATTAAGTGCGATTTTGTCCACGATTGGCGTTGTGCCATTGTTTCTGCCCCTGACGATTGAGAGCGATCATGTCCCGCAACAGCAGCGGCAACCACGGGTGGAACGACACCGAGTTCAAGTCGGACGAGTCGTTCGAAGCGTTTGCCGCCTCGTCGGGTCCTCTGACTCTTCCGGACTTTGGAGGTAGCTCCAACATTGACCTTGGCGCCATTGCCCCCGTGTTTGGTATTGCTGGCACGACCGCACCTTCCGCTGCCGACTACCTCGAGTACGACACCCGCGGTCGCGGGTTCCATGAGCGAGCGACCCATATTATTGGCATGGGCTACTTTGGTGGCATCCTTGGTGGCGGTGCCATCGGTGTTGTTGAAGGGATCCGCAACGCCCCAAGTTCCAAGCTCAAGGTGCGTCTCAACAGTTTATTCAACGCGGCTGGCCAACGCGGCTCCCGTGCCGGTAACGCATTGGGAATCTTGGCGCTCATGTACTCGTCCATCCAAGAACTTGCGGACACTGTCGAACTCGAGCGGTTCGTCCTCGTAGACAAGGCTGTGCCGGTCCTTGCCGCAGGGGCCACGGGCATGCTGTACAAGTCGACGGCGGGCACACGACCAATGTTGATGGCTGGAGCCATCGGTTCTGTCGTCATGGGCGCATTCCAGTTTGGTTCGTCGTTCTTGCGTTTGTAAGAACGACCGCCGTGCGAACGACCCCCGTGTGCATTAAAGACTTATAATATACCGTATTCCGCTGCATGCCGTGGTCTCGTCATGGTCATGCGGCTACGGCGTTCTCTTGGAGACATTGCCGCGCACACAGACTGCCAAGAGTATGCGCGCGTACAATTGGCTCCAACCACACGCTCCGTCAACATGCCGTGGCGGGCAGTGCGCGGCGTTTTGCTGGTTCAAGTCGTGTTCGTGGTTGGTGGGCATGGTATTCGACGACGCCCGTACTGGCCGAGAACATCCACGACCAAGCGTTCGTTCGATGTGTCGTAGCACGCGAGGCGCTGGGCAACACTGAATCCCCAATAGTCGCCGCCACGTGCTCGCTCCGGTGCGGCGAACACTTGCATGCGGACATGGAGCGAGTTGGGATCGGCAAGGATTGCGTGGAATTGGACGCGGTAACATACTCGAGGACGCAATCCAAGCTCCACATGGTGCACATCCGAGTCGACTGCATCCAGTGGCCAAGAAAAGAGCGAAAGGTCGACCGAGGGGCGTCCTCCAACGCTCGCTTCCAATTGGTATGCGCCAATGTAATCGCCTGTCAGGTGACTCGACATCGCTTCCATCGTCGTTTCGCCGTTCGGGAACACCCTCAGGATTTGCGGCGTTCCGTTCAAGGTGAATTCGGACGGCGGGACGACGATTGGGTGGCCCATCGTGCCCGACACAGCGCGGACCTACATGGGGACAAAGGGCTTTGCGTCATTTCGCAGCGATCGGTGGGCCGTGCGTACCAACTTACCCACAGCGTGCAGCATGGAGCAGTCGTCAGCGCGAGCCGAAACCCCACCAACCCCATGGTACTTGCACGGAGGGTGGTAAGCATGGACGGATTGAGCCATTGCGGTGGGGGTGACGACGACATGGCCAAGAGTTGATTGAATCCCCATGTCCCGTTGAATGGCGACGACGCCGACAAGGCAAGAGGGGCGATCGGGACTGCGGATGTGGGCTGCAGTGCCTATCGCGCATCCACCCGTGAGCACAGGGAAGGAGCAGGGACGGTCGCACCATGTATATTTCCCGCATTTGAGCGACAAACCATGAGAATGAAGAAGATGAGCGAAACCGACGGCACTTGGCCAAACACAGCGAAGCAGCGGCTGCAACACTCGGGGACCCCCTTGACGAAACAAGTTCGCGGCATAATTCGAGGGCATCATGGGCGAGTGCGACTAGCGTCATGTGCATCGGAGCCAGGGCTTCGTTCAAGTTGGTGTGGAGCCGAAGAATGAGGTGCCGATAGGTCTGTTCGAGCTCGGCCTTGCGCAGCAGCGCCGACGCGTGGGTTTGCAAAAACGCTTGGACCATGGCACCTTGGTGGGCACAGCACTGGGCTAACACGGCACTCACTCCGCCCACAACATGGTTGAATTTGCGCGGGATTTGGCAACCATGGTAAACAAACGCGTCCATGAAAATTTGTGGGAGCACTGCGATGTTGAGTGAGTGTGAATGGCCAGTGAGGTACGTCCAGAGTGCAGTGAAGTGGGGGCCTTGCGCTGGAAGTAGTGGAAAGGACGCGGCAAAGCTGTGCACGGTTGCCATGGCCACTTCCATCTCACGCAGCTGTATCCTTGCAGCCGCGTCAATTTCACGACCATGAGCATGCAGAGTTGGGGACGTCAAACTCTCCCAACTTTGGCGAAGCTGTCGACGAGGCAGAACACAAGCATCGTGGCGCAGGTTGCTTTGAGCGACGTCCACAGGCGAGCCGCGAATAGATGGCACGTCGCCGCTAGGGTTGGTTGAGCTGGCGACCAAAGTGTGGCTGGGAGGGATGCGGTAGATGCCTTCACATTGGCATTGAACAATATCTTCAGGGTTTTGGCGCTGGCAGGTTTTGCATGCTCGACGGTACGACATGACGATGAATGGCGGAGACGTGGCTGTGGCAATGACTCGTAAGAGAACGGGGTTGGGATGATTGAAGTTGCGACGAGAAAGATAAGGCCCGTCATTAATGCGCACGACCACGTACGCCTGCCACAGCACAATCGAGGTCAAGATGCTGCTGATGGCGCTTGCAATGACGTACCCGGAGCGTATGCATCGCCTGGCGCTGCAGTCGCGCCGACCCTCCAATCCACCGATAATGCCAACCCAAGGAGGCTTTCGGGCTAAATTCGCTGACACGCGTCATCTTTCTACACCAAGTTCGGGGGAAGGTGTCAAGGCATGTCGCGGGGACAGAGCCTGGCCAGTACAAGACCGTCCAGGTGACTGATCTCAGGGATCGACGTACGCACCTCGTCCAAGCCATCGTAGTGGCTTGTAATCCACTCGCCAACGCTGTGGGTCTGCCGCCGAACATTGGCCAGCACGACGTGTTCAGGAATCGTGTCGCCGACTTTCCATTCGTTGTCGTACGATGCTTCGAAGCGAAGATATGTGATGGAATGGCCCAAAATGGACCGGTCGCCATGGACTCGGGTCACGATTGACGAGCCGCACACACTGTTGAACACGTGCTCAGGGCAGCAATGTGGAAAACATCTATGTCGTCGTCCCCATCGCGGCGGACGTTGCATGAGGGTTGGCTGTTCTAGCGGGGCTAGATGAATCATGGAGAGTGAAGGCGTACCGAAGGACTTTGGTGCCGCCCGCGCGATGTGTTCTGAAAGACAAACACGACAAAACGGTGTCACAACGGGGACCGACAATGCGTGACCAGCGATGCCTCCTCACCTGAGGTACTTGGTCTCAAAGATCGATTCACACCGACAGAACTTGTAGAACTCGACCGCGCACGGCGTGGAACGGCCTGCGGCGGCGGCGGCGTTCATGAGAATTGCGGATGGCTCGCTCGTTGTCGGCTGCTGCATGCGGCCACACCATATCAAGACCCAACTGTGGTATATCGTGTGCCGGTACCACTGCAAATGTCAGGTTGATTTACTGATTGGCATGACCCGATGCCATTGGTAGAAATGCAATTCGATCAGGTCAATGATTGGCTAATGACGATATGACCACTCCATCGACGTAATGCTGGAGATGATCACTTTGCCGACGACAGTTGGTCTTGCCAACTGCAACTTCAGGAGCCCACGGCACAGTTTGACTGAGGCTCGGTGCGCCAGCCGCGCCTAGGTGGATGGCGATGACGCGCTGGATTAACACCCCAAGACGTGGGATCGAACCTCTAGCATGCCCTGTACGTTTGGCACCCGAGGCTGTTGCCCTGGTGAGGGGTGCACGGCGTTGCGATGTCGACGACGGAAGACCAAACGCTGATCAGCTGCATAGCCTTGGTCACCACCAAGCAACGGCATCGAACTTGGCCATGATGATTGGTTGAGAGTGACGCCGACTGATTACATGAGTGCGGCGCCGAGACGATACGATGCCCAGTTGGATGATGGCCGCGCAGTCAAAAAAATGGGCCCTCACGTCCATGGTAGCTCGGCAAGCAGGAACCCACGCAGTAATACTCCTTAAGCCGTGGGGGACTACAAAACCTGCGCCCTCGAGCACTCAAGCTTGCGGTTCCAGGACGGCTGTCCAGTAAGCGCATTGTCGCAAGACTGGCCAAGGTCCCGACTGTCCCGGACGTTGTACACTATGAAATCGGTCGTTTCGACAGGTTGTTACAGCGATCAAGTCTAAGTCCTTCGTACGATAGGATCGGGCCATTTTTTTGCGGGTTTGCCGACAGCGAA